CCCCCCCGCCCGCAGACGAAGACGAGGACGAAGATTTCGGGTGGGGAGAGGACGATCAGGACGACGGGAACGACAACAACGCCGACTGCAACGATCACGGGGCGGACGACGACCTGCCCTCCCCCCCTCCACGTCCCTCGCCCTCCGACGCCGCCGCCGCAGGCGCACCGGCACGCTATCTCTCTCCGCACGCCGGCGGCGGTGTGGCCGGGCCACCAGGAGGTGCGTTGGGGGCGATGCGCCCGGATTCGCCGCCGCCAGCTGGTGGTGGTGGTAGGACGGCGGCGGGGGGCGGTGTGAAGACGCTCGCTTCGGCGGCGGCCATGGCCGAGATTTCTCGCCTCACGGCGGCGCTGCGGGCGAGCGAGGCGGAGCGGGCGTCCGCCTCCGCGGTCGAGGGCTCGCGCGGTGGGGACGGCGGCAAGGTCGACGAGGTTACCAGGCAGAGGGATGCGGCTGTTGCCGAGGTGAGAGAGAGTGGGTGGTGGGTGGGCAGAATTTTTTGGCGTGTTGAGCGTTGCGTGTGCTTGTGCTGACGTGACGTATTTCCATTGTTAGTGATGTGCTGCTGCTGCTGCTGCTGCTGCTGGCAGAACTCAGAACTGGAGTGCCAGGCCGGTTGACGTGTGCAGTCCTGGATGAAGAGAGAAGGAAAACGCGCTACCTCACCGCTTCGCCCTCTCTACGCCTCCCCCCCCTCGCGACGCCCCCCCCCGGTTTGCCATCGGGATTGGGTTTTCGTCGCTTGGCAACGACGTTGTAAAGCAAGCCAATTCACTTCGTGAACTCGGCAACCAGGTTACCGTCTTTTTTTAACCTCCGTTTTTTTTTTGGCGGTAACCATAATGGTGGTCGAGTAGATCATGTTGTGCGGGGTGGAGAACCTTCACTCCGCGCAAGGGAACTGATCGCACCACGTTGTGTTCAAATGGTCAAGCACCCTCGAGGCAGTTACACAGTGCTTGCAACTGTCTCAGGAAGTGAAAGCACCAGAAAAAAAATTAAGTGATACGCAGCTGTCATCCGTACGCAAGGAAGTAAGCACAAGATGCCGAAAACCCTTAGCAGGATGCAGCGCACCCTTCATGCGACTCGCCGAATATCTCACGGCGCTTCGCGCTTGGTGATGTGAGAGCCTGGTCCGGTGAGAACCCGGCGTGCTCCGTCCCGGCTTTGTAGGGATGCGATTTCAATGGTCTAACGACTACGGCATGCACGACTATGAGTACACCCCCCC